AGCGAGCCCATGCTGGGAAAGCTGGTGCGCTTGGAGCCAGGAGGGGTCCCCTCCTCCTCCTCCTCCTCCTCCTCCTCCTCCTCCTCCTCCTCAATCCTCCTCCGCCTCCTCCTCCTCCTCCTCGCTCCTCCTCCTCCTCCTCCTCCTCCTCGCTCCTCCTCGCTCCTCCTCGCTCCTCCTCCTCCTCCTCCTCTTCCTCCTCCTCCTCCTCCTCCTCCTCCTCGTCCTCCTCCTCCTCCTCGCTCCTCCTCCTTCCCCGCTGCGGGACCCGAAGGCCCTCTGCGCCGATCCTGCGTCTCTGCGCTGATGGGGCGCGGTCGGCGAGGCTGTGCATCTCGCCGAGGTCGGGGCCAGCTTTATGATGCTCCAACCTACTTCAGCCTTGATCACCAGGAAGAAGGTCGAGCGCCAAAACAAAGCACCGAAACTCAAGGAGTTGTCACGTGTCGGGCCCTGGGGAGACGCTCGCCCGACGCTGGCTCGACACTGTCTCGACACTCTCTTTTGACACTTTTTCGGGAGCTCGAAATTCTTTCTGGGATGTGGTCCTTAAGCCGGGTGGGAAGAGCATAACCCCGGGGGCGCTCTTGAGCTGCCGCTGCCCCCCCTCGCCCTGCTCCGGGCAGGGCGCCCCGAGGACTGGGAGGTGCGCTTCCGCGCCAGGCGGCGCGCGCGGCGGCGGAGGGCCCGACAGCCCCGAGGAGGAGGCGATGATGATGTCGCTGGCCGGTGCTCGTCGCCACGGCCAGGCTTAGCCTCGGAGTTTGCTCCGAACGCACCCCTGGAGAGGTCTGGGGAGCAGCGGGAATCGGTAATGTTGGCCCCGGGGCCTTGTTAGGGTGCGCGCCCCCCCCCTCCCCCGTCCTCTCTCCCCTGAGATCCTGGCGTTTCAATTTTTTTGTGCTGGGCGTTTTCGCTCGATTTCAGACCCCGGGACCCTCACAGATCGATCGGGCTGGAAAAATGGCGCAGAAGATGAGGTCTGGGGCTCTGGGCGCGATTTTTCGCGAGGCTGCAATTTCATTGCAACGTCGGATCTCAGGGTCAGGGGAGGAGGAGGGGGAGGAGGAGGAGGAGGAGGAGCGAGGAGGAGGAGGAGGAGGAGGAGGAGGAGGAGGAGGAGGAGGAGGAGGAGGAGGATTGAGGAGGAGGAGGAGGAGGGGGAGCAGCGCTCCCAGCGGCGCATGCTACTCCCCTTGGCCCTTGCGAACCCCAGCTGAGGTTTCAGTGTTTGCTGCCCGCCATGACTTGCGAAAGGCCGAGGGACGCGTGTCTGACGATCTTGGGCCACTCAAGCATGTGCTACAGTTGCGGAAGTCAATTAATGGAGAGGAAGCAGACTGCCGAATAAATTCCAGATGTCTAAAACATGCTTCAACCATGCTTTAAATGTGTAAAACATGTTGAAACATGTTTAGAACATGCTTTACACATTTTACACACATTTTTTATTCAATGATACGATTGTTCGAGTGTCCATTGTCATGGCATCCACAACGCTACAGTGGAGGCCCATGCCAAGAAACACCCTGTTTGCCTCCAGGGTGCCCTGGGTTTCTTGGGTTTCGATGGTCTTGCTCTGGAAGGCGCGACGCCCCCACACAAATCATCGCTGGACGTCCTCGGGTCTCAGGGTTGGGCTTCTTGTGGAAGGTTTTCTTGCGGTCGGGCCCCCACTGTATTCCTGTAGCCCTTGGACCCACGTCGTTGGTGCCTTCTTGCACCCCCGCATGCGAAAGGTCGAGAGACGCGTGTCTGACGATCTTGGGCCGCTCAAGCATTCGCTAGTCCTGTAGCCCTTGGACCCACGTCGTCGGTGCCTTCTCGTATCCCCACATGGCCTCCAGCGCGTCCCGCGCTCGGCGGAATAGCTCGGCGGAAGCAGAGCGGCGGCGGGAGGTGCGGCGGAGGGCGGCGGAGGCTAACAGTGAGTCCTCGCAGGCGATTTGCGAGTTCTTCTCCCCCCCAAATCCAAGAATTAAGTCGAGCTTGTTTTTCTACAGCAGGAACATTCAAAGATGCGCTTTAAAATCGTCTGGGCACGATTGTCCTTCATTGTTTGCCATTTTTGAACATTTTTGGAGTATTTTATTTTTTCGCCCCAAATCCGCCTGTATCGGAGGTTGGTAGACCTGCTACCCTGACGCGTCGATTCGCGAATTGGCCGTTTTCGCTTCGCGAGGGGGCATCGCGGCCGTTGTTTTTGCGGGTCCAGGTCCGTCGGTGTCGGTCCTGGGCCGTTTTCACCAGAAAGGGTGGTTTACGAAAGGGAGGCGAGGACATGCCCGGCCTAATCTGGCGTCGGGCCTGTCCCTCTGCAGGAGGAATATTCAAAAATAGTATTCAAAAATCGTCAGGGGACGATTTTTTCTTCTCATTTTTGAGCATTTAGGGGGCCTTTTTTGGGGCTATTTTGAATTTTTCGTCGAAAATCCCCTTGTAGCTAGGGGGACAGGCCCGCCCTAAACCTAATCCCAGAGCTCTCCGACACTCTGCCCGAGCAGGGCAGCCCGGCTGCAGCACAGGTGGTGAGAGGCGGGCCGCGGGGCAGGAGGCCGAGGCACGGCCACAGGCACCTTTTGTAGTGCTGTTGTGCCCGGGGTCGCGGCCGTCCGGACCAAAAACGGAAAGTGCGCCAGTGGATCTCCCTGAATACACTAAGGGGGGGGTCCAGAACCCCCCCCTCTCCCCCCCTTCAAGGGGGGGGGGGGTCCGGACCCCCCCCCCTCTCCCCCCCTTGGCGCTGGAAAGGGGGGGGGGTTCGGACCCCCCCCCCTCCCCCCTTTGCGCCGGAAAGGGAGCAGTGGAGGGGGGGCCTCTCTCGCTTCTCCTTCCTGCACTGGAGAAGGTGTGTAGGGAGTACGGAGTTGGGAGTAGGCAGTGGTGAGTAGTGAGTAGTGAGTGAGTGCGTAGTGAGTAGTGAGTATTGGGTAGAAAGTACTGGGTAGTGAGTGGCGAGTAGGGACTAGGGAGCAGGGAGTGGGGAGTAGTGAGTAGTGAATAGTGAGTAGTGTGTACGGATAAGTGAGTAGTGAGTGGCGAGTAGTGAGTAGTGAGTAGCGAGGAGCGAGTAGCGAGTAGTGAGTCCTGAGTAGGGAGTAGGGAGTAATGAGTAGTGGGTAGTGGGTAGTAATAGTGGGTGGCGAGTACTGATTAGTGAGTTGTGAGTAGTGGGTAGTGGGTAGTGCGTAGTGAGTAGTGAGTAGTGAGTAGTGAGTAGTGGGTAGTGAGTAGTGAGTAGCGAGTTGTGAGTAGTGAGTACTGAGTACTGAGTACTGAGTACTGAGTAGTACGTAGTGCGTAGTGAATAGTGAGTAGTGAGTAGTGATGAACAGAGAGTAGTGTGTAGTGGCAGTGGGTAGTGCGTAGTGAGTAGCGAGTAGGGAGCAGCGAGTAGTGAGTAGTGACGAGCGAGTAGGGCGTAGTGAGTACTGAGTATTGAGTAGACAGTAGTCAGTAGTGAGTAGTGGATTAGAGAGTAACGAGTAGGGATTAGCGAGTAGTGGGTAGGGAGTAGGGAGTAGTGAGCAGTGAATAGTAAGAAGCGGGTAGCGAGCAGTGGGTCGTGAGTAGCGATTAGTGAGTAGTGAGTATTGACTAGTGACTAGTGAGTTGTGACTAGTGACTAGTGACTAGTGACTAAAGACTATGTAGTGACTTGTGAGGGAGGAGTAGTGATTAGTGAGTAGCGGGGAGTGAGTAGTGAGTATTGCGTAGCGAGTATGGGAGTAGCGAGTAGTGAGTACTGAGTACTGTGTAGTCAGTATTGTGTAGGGGTAAGCGAGTAGCGAGTAGTGGGTAGTGAGTAGTGATTTGTGGGCAATGAGTAGTGAGTAGTGAGTAGTGGATTAGTGGGTAGTGGGTAATGAGTAGTGGTTAGTGAGTAGAGAGTAGGGAGTAGTGAGTAGTGCTTAGTGAGTAGTGAGTATTGAGTAGTGGGTAGTGACGAGTGAGTACTGAGTAGTGAGTAGGGAGGAGGGAGTGGTGAGTAGGGAGTAGTGAGTAGCGAGTAGTGGGTGGTGGGTAGTGAGTAGTGGATAGTGAGTAGTGAGTCGTGAGTAGTGAGTTGGGGGTAGTGAGAAGTGAGTAGCGAACAGCGAGTAGTCAGTAGTGGGTAGTGAGTAATGAGTAGTGAGTGCTCTTTGGGACTGGGGTTAGTGGTTGGGGTTAGGGTTAGGAGTTTGGGTTAGGGTGAGGACTAGGGGTAGGGGTGGCGGGGGTCGGGTTCCGGAGTCAGGGGGCGGCGTGGCGAAAAGAAGGGAGAGGGGGGGCGGGTTGCGGCCAAAGGGGGGGAGGGGTCGGTGGTTCGGACCCCCCCCTTTTGAAAGGGGGGGAGGGGGAGAGGGGGTTCCCCGACGACGGATCGGGGAAACGGGAGGAGGGGAGGGGGGGTCCCCGACGACGGATCGGGGAATGGGGGGAAGGGGGGGAACGGGGGTCCCCGACGACGGATCAGGGAAGGGGGGGGGGGGTCCTACCCCCCCCTCCCTTGGGGAGATCCAGCGGCGCACCCTCCAAAAAACGTATCTGGCACCCAGGCGGAAGCACGATTCTTTCACGAAGCGTGAATTTGCCACTCGAAGAAGAAAAGACGCCATAAGCATAATCTTTTGGCGTTCCGCGCGGATTTCTTGGATCCGCGCCTGGGCCCCCCTGGCGGCGCCTCCGGCGCCGCCCCCGGCGCGCTCCGCGCGCCAGGGAGGAGGGTCCGGCGCGGATCTGGGAAATCCGCGCGGACCTCCAAAAGTTTATGCTTATACGGGTTTTCTGTTCCTCTATTCTATTCATGAATCGTGAGTCTGCCGTGCCACCTCCAGACTGTGCGGCCTCGGGCTCCACGCCACCCCCGAAGGAGCTGCTCGGACGCCCCCCGAATCATAGAGGATGGATCCCCCCCCCTCGTACACGGGGATCGCCATGCCCTCTGCCGAGCCCTCAAGAGGTGCCAACCTTTCGGGGCCCAGGGGTTCTGGAGCCGTGCGCGGCGTTTCAGAAAGGGCCTCGCATTCGAGAGCCGGAGGAAGTGGCATATCGTCGGCGTCGGGCGGCGGAAGAGCGGCGGAGATAAAAAACGAGGGCGGCTCGGCCGGCGCAAGGCTGGCAGTAGTTGGCGGAAGTGTAACATCGCCCCCCCAAGAGATTGGAAGGTTCTTTGGTCCAGGGTTTCTGGAGTCGGCCAGGTGGAGCCCTCGTACCCAGACCCCGGACGTCGTGTTTTTGTTCGCAACCTCGACCCCCAGAGGTCTGGACCCCTTCCCCGGGACCAGTTCTGCATCCTGAGCCGTTTTTTGGACGGTCCCGAGACCCGGTGAGGGCCCCCGGCGGCCGAAGATAGCAAAAAACCTTCCCTCGTGACCGAAAGAATAGCGAAAACCCTTCCGTCGAGATTGTTGTCACAACGCGAGGGGGTGTCGGGCAAGACCCGCTGTTCCCAGACCCCCTCGCGCAATGATAAAATCATGGCGGGGTGTTTTTCCGGATTTTCGGCCTCCGGCGGCCCTCACCGGGCCTCGGGAGCGTCAAAAAACGACTCAGGATGCACAGCCGGTCATGGGGAAAGGGTCGGGACCTCTGGGGGTCGAGGTAATGAAAAAATCATTCCGTCGGGGGTCTGGGTTCCCAGACCCCCGAGGTCATCATTTTTTCATGACGCGCCCCCCAGAGGTCTGGACCCTTTCCCTATGACCGGTTTTTCATCCCGAGCCGTTTTTTGACGCTCCCGAGGCCCGGTGAGGGCCCTCAGAGGCCGAAAATGGCGAAAAACCTCCCGCCGTGATTTTTTTTCATGCCTCGAGGGGGTCTGGCTTCCTCGCCGCTCAGGTGGAGGCTCTGGCACCGCAGCCCCTGGGGTGGCGGCCTCTCGCTCGGGCCGCTGGCCTTCGCCCTGCCGCTGGCGCACCGCGCCGCCCCCCTGCCCTGGGAGCACGGCGCCCGCCCCGCCGGCTTCCCCGCCGAGGTGCGCGACGAGGACCGGCGGCGGAGCCCAGACCCCCTCGAGTAATGAAAAAATCATGACGGGGTGTTTTTCCTAATTTTCTGCCTCCGGGGGCCCTCACCGGGCCTCGGGAGCGTCAAAAAACGACTCAGGACGCAGAGCCAGTCATGGGGAAAGGGTCCAGACCTCTGGGGGTCGACGTAATGAAAAAATCATTACGTCGGGGGTCTGGGAGCGGACATTCCCAGACCCCCTCGCGCTGTGAAAAAATCACGGCGGGAGGTTTTTCGCTATCTTCAGCCTCTGGGAGCCCTCACCGGGCCTCGGGAGCGTCAAAAAACGACTCGGGACGAAAAACCGGTGCCGGGGAATGGGTCTGGACCTCTGGGGGTCGCGTCATGAAAAAATCATGACGTCGGGGGTTTGGGACAGGGGCGGGGCGGGCATTCCCAGACCCCCTCGCGCGGTGAAAAAATCACGGCGGGAGGTTTTTCGCTATCTTCGGCCTCTGGGAGCCCTCACCGGGCCTCGGGGCCGTCCAAAAACGACTCAGGATGAAAAGCCGCTCCCAGGGAATGGGTCGAGACCTCTGGGGGTCGACGTCATGAAAAAATCACGACGTCGGGGGTCTGAGTCACACGCATTCGCCCGGGAGCCTTTGTCGAAGACGTAGATCATCGGCACCCCTGGATACATGTATCAGGAGGGAAAGAAACACACAGACACAATTAATCGTCGATTCCTCAGAAAATATGGGAAAATATGGGAAGTGGGGTGGAAGACAAAACCCCAGAAAATATGGGAAAATATGGGGAATCTTTTTATTTGTGTGTATTTATTTGTGTGTCCTGGGGCCCCTTCAATGTATTGCTCCCCCCTGGGCTATTCGCCCCTCTCGTCGCCTCCCGAGAGGAGCTCGTCGCCACGGAGCCCGGCGCTTGGGCGTACGCGCTCGCCCTGAACGGCTCCGTGGAGCCTCCGCCCTCCGCGTCGGCCCCCTCCCCAGACCCCCTCGAGTAATGAAAAAATCATGACGGAAGGTTTTCCTTCATTTTCGGCCTCCGGGGGCCCTCACCGGGCCTCGGGAGCGTCAAAAAACGACTCAGGATGCAAAGCCGGTCATGGGGAAAGGGTCCAGACCTCTGGGGGTCGACGTAATGAAAAAATCATTACGTCGGGGGTCTGGGTCGAGTCGTGAAGGAATCACGGCCGGTGGTTTTTTGCCCTACTTTCGGCCTCTGGGAGGTTTTTTGCCCTACTTTCGGCCCTCGCGTTGTGAAAACATCACGACGGGAGGCTCTTCCCCATTTTCGGCCTCGAGGGGGCCCTCACCGGGCCTCGGGACCGCCAGAACACGACCCAGGAGGAGGAGCCGGTCCCGGGGGAGGGGTCCAGACCTCTGGGGGGGGTCTGGGTTCCCAGACCCCCGACGTCGTGATTTTTTCATGACGTCGACCCCCAGAGGTCTCGATTCACTCCCTAGGCCCTAGGACCGGTTTTTCATCCCGAGTCGCTTTTTGACGGCCCCGAGGCCCGGTGAGGGCCCTCAGAGGCAGAAAAAATAGCGAAACACCTCCCGTCGCGATTTTCTCCGGACTCGAGGCGGTCTGCGGAGGGCCGCGCGGCCCCGAGGACGCCGAGCCCTCGGTGCGGCTGTCCCTGCCGCCGGGCCGCGCGGAGGAGCTCGCCTTCGCCACGGGCGGCGCCTGCCCGCTCGTGGCGCGCGTGGCCGCGGTGCGCTGGGCCGAGTGGGCCGCCCGGGGGGACGCGCCGCTGCTGACGACGGTGCTGCCGGACCTCCGGCGGGCGGGAGGTGCTCCTCGAATCATGAGCAAATCACGACGGGAGGTTTTTCGCTATCTTCGGCCTCTGGGGGCCCTCTCCGGGCCTCGGGGCCGTCCAAAAACGACCCGGGACGAGAAACCGGTCCCAGGGGAATGGGTCTGGACCTCTGGGGGTCGCGTCATGAAGAAATCATGACGTCGGGGGTCTGGGTGCGGAGGTCGGTGTAGGCCTCCTTTGCTGACGCGTCGATGCGCGAGTTGGCCGTTTTCGCTTCGCGAGGGGGCATCGCGGCCGTCCTGTTTTCGCGGGTCCAGGTCCGTCGGTGTCGGTCCTGGGCCGTTCCCACTAGAAAGGGTGGTTTACTAAAGGGAGGTTTGTCGGGTATAGCCAGGACCCCGGTTAAGGGGAGCCGGTTAGCGATTGGGCCCCGAAGCCCAAAACATGGACTGGAATCACTAGGTCTGCGGTAGCTGGTGTTTCTCGGGTGACGGCAGTTCCGGCTAGTGGAATGGGGCGGGGGGGGCGTTCCCCAGTGCGCATCACTAAACCAGGTCACACTAAACCCAGTCCTGCCAACGCCCGAGTTTGTCCACCGCCGAGAGGTGCGCCCCACCACCTTCGGAGGCGGCGGTGTCTGCTTGGCCTCTTCGGGGCGGGGGCCCCTGTCGCCACGGCTGGGCGCAGCTCGGAGAACTGGACGTCGTGTTTTTTTCAGGACGGGGTCCCCGGGAGTCTCGACCCATTCCCCAGGACCGGTTGTTCATCCCGAGACGCTTTTTGACGGTCCCGAGGTCCAGTGAGGGCCCTGAGAGGCCGAAAATAGCGAAAAACCTCCCGTCGTGATTTTTTCATGACTCGAGGAGGTTTTGGGAGGCCGAAGATTTAGAAGAACCTCCGCCTTGATTTTTCCAATGCGTTGGACCTCTGGGAGCTGGAGCAGGGCGCAGGGGGAGGCCGGGTCACCATGGCGCATATGGAGGGCGGCAGGCCGGCGTTCGCCGAGGAAGGGGGGTGGCGGAGAGGGCGCCCGTGCCTCTTTCCCGTCGCCGCCGCCTTCCCAGACCTCCTCGACTCATGAAAAAATCACGACAGGAGGTTTTTCGCTATTTTCGGCCTCCGGGGGCCCTCGCCGGGCCTCGGGAGCGTCAAAAAACGACTCGGAATGAGAAACCGGTCATGGGGAAAGGGTCGGGACTTCTGGGGGTCGACGTAATGAAAAAATCATTACGTCGGGGGTCTGGGTTGCCAGATAGATACACGCCGGTGGTTGAAAGTAGGTATTCTTGGACTCCCAGGTCCCGGTCTACGCCAAGCGCCTTCCTGCTTCAAGAGTCGGCACGCTTTTGCTGTGCCTTGTTATTCTCTAGGGGGGGGCCTGGACCCAATCAACTTAATCCGCCTTCCTACTGCATGTTCTTACCTGTTTCTTCCGGCCGACGTGTACCCTCCCCAGCTGTTCCGACGCCGAAGATCAGGCACGGCTCGGGTGGGTGAGTGGGCAGAGCCCCTTGCCCTTCGAGGAACGCTGAGTCGTGCAGATCCGGGGAGGAGGGGAGGGGCGGGGAACATGGCGGAACGGGGGGGGAGGGGGAGAGGATGAGGAACTGGGACGGCGCAGGAAGGAAGAGGGAGCAGCAGGAGGACGAGGAGGAGGAGGAGGAGGAGGAGGCGGAGGAGGAGGAGGAGGAGGATTACGATGATGAGGAGGAGGAGCAATGCTGCCACCCGGAGCCAAGCTCCCCAGCTGCCACCCTTGCACGGCCGCTGCCGCCCCCGGGGGCCCGGAGATCGAAGCCGCAACAGGGCCCCTCTCCTGCCTGTCCCCTCTCCGCCCCTTCCCGCGGTGCGCACCGTCACGCTGCCGTGGCGGCGCGCTGGGTATCCTCAGCCTTCGCCGCCTCGGGGTGTCGCTGCCGCTGCGTGCCGCGGGGCGCAGCTGCACCCGCGCGCCGCGCGGGGCGCGGTGGGCAGCTCGTGTGTGTTCGTCCGCCCGCCCCGCGCACGCACGCCTGCTTGCCACGCCGCTTGGGGCCGGGCACCCGTAGGGTCCTGGGACCTGAGGCTTGGAGCCATCTGGGGGTGCGAGGTGGCCCAGCACAGGTTCTGGCCAGCAGGAAGGGGGAGAGGCTCGAGGTTCTGGGCTCAATGTTGTTCGACGGGCAGCACAGGCTTCCCTCTAGAAGTGCCGTTGCCTGGCGTTGTCACCTCTTCTCTCCTTCTTTTTCTTCTTCTTCTTCTTCTTCTTCTTCTTCTTCTTCTTCTTCTTCTTCTTCTTTCTCTTCTTCTTCTTCTTCTTTTCCCTTGTGCCACGCCTTCGGGGGTGGGACCTGGGGTCCGAGAGCTTCAGGGCTTGTTGGGCGAGATCATCCGCAAAACCGTGAGGAGGAGGAGGAGGAGGAGGAGGAGGAGGAGGAGGAGGAGGAGGAGGAGGAGGAGGAGGAGGAGGAGGAGGAGGAGGAGGATTTTTTTTTTGCCGCTGCGCTACTCTGCCGCGAGTCATCGCGGTCCTCCTGGCGGCCAGCCAGGCAGCCGTCGAGCCCGACACTTGAGACGCAATTCAACAGACGATAGGCAGTCGTCCTGAGGGCGCAAAACGGCGCAGGCCGCGCCACGGTCGGGGCCATGCCCCCGTGGCGCGACCTAAGCGCGACCAGGGAGCGCTGGGAGACCGTGCTCCGCGCTCCCTGGTCGGGGTAGGGGGCGCGAGCCGTGCTCAGCGCCAACCCTACCCACCACCCACTCCGTGGGCGGCCGCGTTTTACGGGCCCCGGGACCACGACACGACGCGACGCGACAGGGGGACGAAACGAACGACGCGACACGAACGACACGAGACGGACGAGCGACACGACAGAGACGAGCCGCCAGCCCCGCCCCAGGGCGGCGAGCGCTGGGGGGGACCCAGCACCGCCCTGGGGAAGCACACGGGGCCTGGCGACCCCCCCGGGGGAAGGAAACCGCACATTGGCGGCGTCCCCCGGGGTGCGCGGGATTTTCGCCCCTCGGGCCCGGCGCTCCCCGCCTGCGCCAGGAGGACCCTGGGGTCCCGACCCCTCCCCTACGGGAGGGGCCCCCTCGGGGCGAGGAGGAGGAGGGGAGGAGGAGGAGGAGGAGGAGGAGGAGGAGGAGA